AACATAATCTTGTCTTAATTTTCCAATTTGATTTGAACCATGTAGATGAATTGAAGTAATGATGGAATGAAAACTGAATCTGGTCACATATGATCCTCATACTCCCAGTGTTTTCCTCCATTACTGGAGGCAGAATAAAATTGAAGACAAAATATTGCATCCCAAATCACAGACTGCTTGATTGATTACTTCAGTGTTTATGGCAATTGGAAACTCTTTGTCCTCCGCAAGTTGTGTTTTATAGTCACCTTCACATCTTGAATGTTCTAGTCTCAATGTCAGGTCATGGTCACTTTATTCAACCTGGATCTTGTGCAACAGGGTTAAGAAAGGGGCTGTCAGACAGCAAGGAAAGAAATTGCCCCATGGAATTGGCAATCTGACCTTGCAGTTCCATATGCTGAAAAAGCATGAATACATTTTCCTATGGAAAGAAGGAAGTAATGCACCTGATATGGTTCAAATCTTAGCCATAAGGGTAGTTCCTGAGCAATTTGGGTAGGTTAATTGTAGAGGATGACATTGGAATGCAGGAGGGAGGGGCTTTTCCTTTCCCAGGGAAATACAAGTACCAGAACTTTTGACAGGCTGAAAAATAGGTCAAAATGTTACTATGTTACTATGCCTATTAAATTTTGTTTAGAATAAGATATCCACATATATACACTGATCTCTAAATGTAGGCACAATAAAATTCTGAAAATGGATGCAATTGGAAACAAGTGCCATACTACATTATGTACAAAGAAAATATTTCATGCCATGACAAAATCTATAACTGTCTTCTTAAAAAAACAACAATATTTCTGAAACTCCAAGGACTTTGACCAGGACATAAACCATGCAGATTTCTGAGTATTTGATCATCTGTTGGCTGCAGGGAGTAATCATCTTTTTTTTTTTTTACTCTTCTGTTTAGCAAAAAGACTTCTTGGGGGACAAAAAATATATTGAGCTTTACATAGTTGTAGATTACGTAATGGTAAGTATCCTGGATATCATTTCATTTTCTTTCTTCATTGAGAACAAAATTTTCTTTCTATCTTTTATTCAAATAACATTCAAACTGGATTGTATCTTAAAATGTGCTTTATAATAAACTTTGATTTTTTTTGTTATTAGATTCAACTAATAGGTTTAAGATACTTTTGAAATTTAACTATACTCTAATTTGCATATTAGTTCTTCCTGCACTCCATCTAAATTGGAATTATACTTTATCCAAAAATGTCAAGATCAGGAAATTGAATACAGAGAAGATAAATGAAATTTTGAAATAGAGAAAAGAGTAAAAGGGAACCATCATACATTTCTTCTACTTGGTCAATCTTGCTCCTTGTTCTGAATTGTGCTTAGTACTATGATTTTAAAACATTTTCACATTTGTTTCATGACATTGGATGGAGAACGTTGATTGGAAAGGTAATTTATAAAAGCGTTCTTGCTTTGGGAAATGTTATGTGGGGATGCCCTTTCCACAGACTAGACAATGGTCAGCTAAGAGGCACCTGAGCCCATAGAAAGAATGTGTGCATGGAAAACCAGACAGAGGAGACCCTTCATAGTTTCTTGGACTGTGAAGGTGGGGGTGAGGGTGGATGGACAGATGTCCTTTCAGACATGCAGGATTCTGTTAATGTAACCTAGAATAACCACCCAGAACTGATACTACTGTTTGTGCTTCTTTCGGGACTTCCATGCAAGGCTGACACTTAAGGTGCACCTCTGAATTTATTTTATGCCACACCTGAATTTATTTTCCTCTAGCTTTTTGGGGTTCCTGCACTATTTCTTTGTTCAAGTTGACAACGCATGAAGAATCAGATGGATAGTACAGAATGATTATCGCACACATCCCTGAATATGGAAATATAGCATTCAATGAAGGAAAGTATTTCAGTAGGCTCACCAACATTTTCTCTAACCAGGCAAAAAGACCATGTGTGGGGCTGAAAAATTAATAACATTAATATATTAATGGCACAAATGTAGGTTAAAAAAATTAAAAAAATGAAAAGAACTCATTGGACAGCTTAGCTATAAAAGTATTATTTTTGTCTAAATCAGCAAATTCAATGATTCTTAAATCTCTTTCTTTCCCTGACATGTTCTTTCTCTCTCTCCCTCAATCCTTCCATCCCAAAATTATGGTCCCTTTTAAACTTTTTTGTCTTTTCTGTAGTTCTTGAAGTACAGCAGCAACAGGACTTTTATAAACATGAGAATATTTGAAATGATCAACTATGTAAATTGGGTAAGAAGACATGGCTAAAGTTGTTTCTGGTTTTGGATTAAAATTCTCCCTGCCCCATTGCAGACTTTCATTGTGTTCACATAACAAAATTAATGAGTAAGTTGACTTAGGAGATGGACTTCTACAAGAATGTTAACTTTTCTGGCTTTGAATGCAGCAAAACTCCATCATTTGATAAACTGATGATGCAGCATGGAAGTCTAATTCAGAAAATGGATTAGTTTAGTAACTAGGTTAATAAGCCTCTTATGTGAATACAGCCATCATGTTGGGAGGATGCAAGTGCAAAACTATGACAAGAATTCAATCAGTGCGACATCTCTATAACTGGATTCTTTCAGCCCTGAGGTCAATTGTCTGAATGTGGAGATTAAACAGAAATGGACAGAGTAAGCCTAATCCAAACTCAACTGATTATGAAGATGATCCCTGAGACGAAAGCAGCAGAGAGGAACCCAGATTGAGTTGGCGCTCATGTCTGCTTCTGTACTATTAGCCTTGTTGACATCTTTTCTGTTGATCATCAGTTAGAATCAGGGAGATAAGGGGGACATCAGTGAGTGAAATCTCCCTTTAGTCCTCCTCCTCCTCTTCTGTTCTTGATTGAAGATAATAATCACCTGGTTCTTGTTTATCATTTTATTTCTTATATGGCATAATTATAATAATAGTAATAATAGTTGGCAGAACAAAGCACTGCATGGCCAATTTCCGGAAAAAATAAAAGATAAAGTGGACAGTGAACAAACTTGGTTATGGTTAACAACAGGTACATTAAAGAAAGAAACAGAGTCACTAATCCTGGCTGCGCAAGAACAAGCTATCCGCACAAATGCCATTAAGGCCAAAATCGAAAAATCCTCTGATGATGCCAAATGCAGACTTTGCGAAGAAGCTGATGAAACTGTTGATCACATACTCAGCTGCTGTAAAAAAATTGTGTAGATTGATTATAAATTGCGGCACAATTCAGTAGCACAAATGATCCATTGGAATTTGTGCAAAAATTATAATATTAAAACAGCAACAAACTGGTGGGAACATCAGCCTGAAAAAGTCACCGAAAATCAGATGGTCAAGATCTTGTGGGATTTTCACATACAAATGGACAAAATACTGGCGCATAATACACCAGACATCACACTGGTTGAGAAAAACAAGGTTACAATCATAGACATTGCAATACCAGGTGATAGCAGGGTCGATGAGAAGGAATATGAAAAAATTGCGAAATACCAGGACTTAAAAATTGAAATTCAACGATTATGGCACAAACCAGCAGTGGTAATTCCAGTGGTAATTGGCACACTGGGTGCTATTCCAAAAGCACTGGAATTACATTTAAAACAGTTAAAAATTGACAAAATCACCATCAGTCAAATGCAAAAAGCCGCACTGCTTGGATCTGCACGCATATTACGAAAATACGTTACGACGTCCTAGGCCCCTGGGTGGGGCCCGACTAGTAACCAATGCCAAATCCGGCGAAACAACTGGCCGCTGTGATACAATTGTACAACAACAACAACAACAACAACAACAACAACAACAATAATAATAATAGCAACAACAATAATAGCAATAATAATAATAATAGCAACAACAACAGCAGCAACAACAACAACAACATTCCAATATGTGGACTCCTTGGTGCTGTCTGAATTTCGTGGTTTCTTTGCAGACCTGACTAAACATCCGCAAGCAAGCTACTAAGCTCAGACAGCATCAAGAACTCCACAGTTCAACCTTGAGCTACAGAGATTCTCTTTTATTTATTCCCAAATCTTTTCCATTTTACCATCCCATAGAGGCCAATTTCAGTTACTTTTCAGTCTTGAAATGTTTCTCAAAGTTTACTTTTATTTTCTGATTGATGACATGTCTAACCCACAGGTTTATGAAGCTTTGAATATTCGTTTAGCATTGGTTGGCATAGAAATTTGGAACAATAGGAATGAGTTTGTGGTCAGTTCATCAGAGGAAAACAATTTGAACTCCTTTTCAAACTGGAGAAGGTCAATTCTGCTGACGCCCAAAAGGAATGACAACGCTCAGTTACTCACGTATGTCTCATTGTGGAGAAAGGGAAAAGTGGGGCAGGGAGTGGAGGATTATGGGAAGGTTAGTGTTTGCACAGAACTTCCTCTCTGGGTTGCATGCCTTAAACCATGTGCAAATTATATTCTGGGTCAAAATCAACCATTTTTTTCCTACATGAGAATTAGTTTTGAGAAGTCCTTGAATTATTGCAGGTCAAAATTTCAGCTTGATTTCATTTCACCTGACTCTATATTGAAACTCAAATGATTAACAACTTTAATGACAACTTTAAAGAGTGTCTGGATGTCAAAACTTTAGGATAAAGAGGGAACTGCCTGTGGCCCAGAGAATTTTAATCTCTGCTTTGAAAGTCTTTTGGCATATATAGAGTGATGTCCTTAGAAGTTAGAAGAAAGCCAGGATCTATTATTCTTCCCATTTCCAATATTTATCAGTAACAAAATGATTTTTCACACTTCTTGGTTTACAACAGCAGCATTTTCTCCATATGTTCTCTGAATGAAACTTCAAGTAGAAAAATGAAGAATGCCACATCAATTGATATTTAAGAAAATTTATGGACCTAATTATTTGAACTAAATTGGTAGAAATCTCCAAGAATAAATTCTTGTGAAATATTGTGTTTGTTTAGTAGGTTGTCTGAAACTGTCTCCTAGATTTTAATCTGATCTGGTTATAGAGGCAGTTTCCGTTCAGCTTTTATATTTTGTACAATTTCATGAATGGGAAATTGGTAAATTTATTGACTTATGGTCATAATATATTGGAGAAATAACAATTCTGTTGTGAGCAATCCGCAGATCAAAGTGAAAGTATAAAATACAAAATAAATAAATAAATATTAATTTTATTTCCCCTCAGATATTTATTTGACTTATAACTCAATCTCCTTTCCCAAAGTCACAGTAGTCTTTAATAACAACACAGCTAAATTGATAGAAGAAACTTATTTTTTTAAAGAAAAATTGCATTTGGGGTTTTCATTGTACATGGAATGTGAATTAACCCAATGAAATTGCATCCGGAATATCTTTAACAGATCTGGTTGGTTAAATGGTTTGTATGGGCAGAGCCTAAATTGAATTATGACATCCTGAAAACTGGCAGGAAATGACAGAGTGAGGAGTTCGCAAAAAGCTATAGAGGTTTCTATAGGCCCAAAGGCTTTAGATTAGTTTCCAGCTTCTATAAACTGTGTCCCCTTCATTATTTTCCTATAGGGGTGTTGACCTAAGTGGAGCAACTATGGGAATCGCTCATTTTGGTACTATGTGCAGTTCTTGGGGATCTGTGGGAATCATTCAGGTTTGTAGAAATTACCTGTTTGGACTCAATGAAAATGTATATGCAGGTATGTAAGGTCTAAACTACTAAAAATGAAAAATAATAACGAATCTTCTTGCTTTGAAAGTTTTTTACAAGCTGTGGTGGCACAATGGTTACAATGAGCATTTCCAACTTGCTCTGCCCATTGCCAGGAGTTTGATCCTGAGTGCCTCAAGGTTGACTCAGCCTTCCATCCTTGTGAGGTTGGTAAAATGAGGATCCAGATTGTTGGGGGCAATGTGCTGATTCTCTAAACTGTTTAGAAAGTGCTGTAAAACATCATGAAGTGGTACATACAGTAAGTCCAGGGGGGAAATGCTACCACTTCTGACCAGTTCACTAGAACCGATAGCAAAAAAAATGCTTTAAAAAGTGAAAAAAGGTTCTGACTATCCCGTGGCTCACAGCTGATCTGCATGATTATCTGAACCACCCCACCCACTTTTTAAAGCATTTTTTCCTACCTATTTGCTTGCACCATCAGGGGAAAAAAAGCTTTAAAAAGTGAAAAAAAGCTTCCAATGATCATGTGGATCAACTGTGAGTCATGTGATTGTCAGAAACTTTCCCCCCGACCACCACCACTTTTTAAAGCATTTTTTTCCTGTCAGTTCGGGCAAATAGATTAAGTCTGAGTACTGAGTAAGTATAAGAGCTATTGCTACTTGAACAAAGAAACTGTTCCCCCCCCGCCCCGCCCAGGAAATCCAATTGCAGCCTTGCAAATTATTAACTCTTTGATTTTTCATTAGAAAGTGCTTGAGCAAAGGTATTAGTTCAATGCTAACAATAGCTGGATTCACTTTGGATTTTTGCAGACTAAAAACAAAAGTATTATCTTTTCTTTAGGATCATGACAAAGATGTATATTTGGTTGCGGCTGTAATGGCTCATGAGATTGGTCATAATCTGGGCATGAACCATGATGCAAATTCTTGTACTTGCACGAAAGGCCCATGCATTATGGCTGCTTCGGGAGGGTAAGTATTGACGGAAAAAATAGTGCCTTTCAAATCAAGTTACATTTCAATGGTTGCAATTAAATGTTAAAGTAAATATGCTAAGAGCTAAGGTCAGGGAGTTATGCAACAGTGGGGTTTGGCCATATGTGTGTCACTTTACCTTGTGTAATTAAAATGTGTTGTACTTAAAAAGATAGGACTGCTCCAGAGGTGGGTTGCTCTTGGTTCAGCCCAGATTGGGCAAACAGGTAGTAGCGGTGGCAGGAGGCTCAATCCACCCACCCAGGTGCTTCTGTGCATGCACAGAAGTGTTGTGCATGCGTACGAGTGCACGCAGGAGCACACCTGAACTGGTAGTAACAAAATTGGCAACCCACCACTGGACTGCTCTCAACAATTGAATATCCATCATTCAGTAGCTTCCTCCAAAACACAAGAGTTTGGAGAAATAGTATAGGAAGTATAGCCAATAAACCAAATATTAATAACTCCAATAGAGAAAAGAGGAAGCCTGTTGAGATGTTAAAGACTTCCCTAAAGTGGGAAGAAGTTATAAGCAGAATGGAATAAAATGATTCTGAACAAGGCAACAGGTGGAGGAA